CCCAGAGCATTCTAATATTTTAGGCTGCCTGAACTCTTAAGGTACCCCATTTGCAGCCTCATCTCCTTCGCTGCAGAAACCCATCTTCTGTTTATCTTCCGATGAAGCCCACAAACAGCCCAAAGGAGAAGTCACCTAGAAAATCATTGTCCAGCAAACCTGGGATTGAAAAGGGCAGGGGGGTTCAAGATACTGGAGTATCAAATGGACAAGAAAATATACATGCATTTCGGACAATGGCTGATATACACCTAAGCAGTTCTCCTAGTTGTGAGAAGCCAACATCCACAGCCAGTACAGAAGACAACCTTGTCACTAAGAGGGTTGATCCTACTAGCTGCGTTGTCAAAATATCTAATTCTATCAGTGATTCCAAAGACAAGTCCACTGATTCTGAAGTGAGTGTTAGCAATGGAGACAAACAGGCTCAGTTTAAGAGCATTCCTCAAAGGATGCTGAAGTGGAGTCAACTTCAGAGATAGCATTCAATTCTCAGCGTGATGAACGAGAACCCACTTCTGCACAACAAGAAGAACCCATTTCTGAGCACACTCAAAGCTTGCCAGAAGCTGATATAAAGTCTATAAGTAAAAAAGATGAGACTTTTTGTGACATGCAGGTTCTTGAAGCAGCAAAAGAGTTTCTTGACGTGCAGGTTCTTGGTAGATCAGGGGATTCCAATAGAATGACAATCTCGAGTATAAGATGTGATGATAAAGATGGGTACCCTGACGATGGAGTTCATCATCTACTGTTTATGAGACTGATGTAGATCGAAGATGCTCTTCAAATAAAACAAGTAGTCCTAATGCAAAAACAGAAGGTGGTGACACGAGCTACTTGTCATTAGAAAGTAGCTGTACTTCCATGTAAAAATGATGCAGGAGCAACATCAGAATATGATTCTAGCTCCTTTCTAACAGAGAAAGATGGTGCCCGACCAATTCACTTGACATCAAATGATGTGTCGTTACTGAGTAGACTTACAGCCTTCCGTGCTGATGAAATTAAGAGTGTGTGGGAGAATCCAAGTCAAACAAAGAGCCGATGCTCTGGAGTCTCTGCTTGAGCTATGTGCTAGGCTTCTTAAGCAAGACAAAATCGATGAGCTTGCTGGTGTTCTACGACCTTTTGTGGAAGACGCTGTCTCATCTAGAGAAACAGCAATTTGGTTAACAAAGAGCCTCATGTCCCCCCAAAAGTTCGTGGAAGAACCTGATTTTCATTATGCGCTTGGCATTAATTTATTCATTATTGTTAGAAAATCTTTTTTTTTTTTTTTGTTAATCTGTTGACATAAAGTGTTTATTCCGAGTGGTTTGCTTGAAGAGAAGAAACTCTAGAAACAAACATAATTTGCAGATTTTTGACTCACGGTTGGTTTTGATGGAAATAATGAAGATATTCTTAACACCCTTTTTAGTGTTACCAGATCAAACACGTGCATTTCATTAGAAGGCTGCTATAATGAACTCAATACATCCAAATCCAAAAATAATAATTATTAAATTCAATTTAGAAACTATAATGAACTCAGAAGTACCAATTATCTCAAAACCATTCCAACATGCAGTGACAAGTTCATTGTTTGAATTTCTTTCCATCTCATAAAAAATGGCTTCAGGTTTTAATATGATTAAGCAACTGGTCAAATTCCAGACTAGTCCAGGGAAACTATGAATGCACATGATTTTTCTTTTACGTCCAACCTCATGGAATTCGCTCAAGTTTCAGAAATATACTACATACAAGTAACTTTTTATTGCAAATTATTAAGAAACTCAATAAACAATGAAGTGAAGAAAATAATCTTCAATTAGTTGAACCCAAGTAATCAAATTTGGCCTACTAATTAGTTTACATTAATAATTCTTCATTTTCTTCTTCAATACATATTTTTTTCATAAATTTATTGGCTTACTGCAGTAGTAGCAAAGAAAGAAACGAGGAGGCCCCAACCAAGGAGCCAAGAACAGCAAAGTTGAGGATACAGCGCTGGAGGCTGTGGATGGGCCTGGAGCAAGCGGCTGGGGCGTCAGTGGAGGCCATGACTGCGCTCATGGAGGCGGCAGCGACAATGACGGCGCAAGAGATCTTCTGCATGTCCATGATGGAGAAGAATAAGCGCACAGAGAGACCTGCCTTTATTTGGTGATGAAAATTTTTATTTGGTGCTTTTGTTGGTGTTTTTACTTTATTCTTTTTGCAGGTCAAAGGGAGAATGAGGTGCTAAGGGGATTTTAAAAGGTAAAATCCATGACTATTTTTAGGAAGAAACGGATTTTTTCAGCTCAAAGACGGTTTTACATGCTTGGTTTTGCAAGGTTTGAGGACTGAGATTGGCCCCAAATTTTGGGATAGTTTGCAAAGATGAATTTGTGGTGCAAACCTTTGTCAAAACCTACTTAACAACTTGCCCCTTAAATTTTGCATTTCTCATTAAAATGGAAAGACAATATTATTTTATAAAGTCCAAGTGGATCTCTCTGAAGAGGAGCTATGAAATTATACTAATATATAAATTTACAAATTATTACACTTTCATATAATTTTTTGTACAATTAATATTTCAACAAATCATTCTTTGAATTTAATAGTTTACTCGTATTTATCATAAACGCGTAAAATTTTAAGTCAATTTGATAATATTCATATTATATTGATAAAAAATACTATATCTTTTCTAATATATATTTAAGCCTTAATTAATATATCGATTTAAAAATTAAATTTTTTTAAATTATTTATTGACATTCTCTAATAAAAAAATTAATTTATCCTTTGGTTCAAAAATAACCCTTAACAGGTGGATAGGGTTATTCTCTTTTTAGATTTGACAGAAAAATGAACAGTCCAGACAAACACAAGGTCCACAAAACAGATCGATGGAGCTCAACGTCTAGTTTTCCCCAGCAATATTTTTCCAGCCAGGCTCTTCAACAATGGCAGCTTACCTTCTTTTTTGGGTACGCACCCAATTCCATAATGAACACAATTAAAGCAAAGACCTCTCACCTTTATTACTTTCCATTAATATATTAACAATGGCTGCCTGTGGTTATAATAATCAATCAATCACTCAAAGACACCATTGCAATGAAAAGGACACACCATTTTCCTCAAGTTGAAGAGATTGATAAATGAAACTCAGAGAAAGTCAACTTTTCTAAATACTTTAATCAGAATCTTATATTTATTATTAAATTAAATAATAAATTTATATTTAATATATTATTAGTGTATAAATTTTATAAACTATCAATAAATTAAATTATGTTATATCATTAATATACAAAAATTAATATTTTTTAAAAATTTATTCATTATTGAAGTGATATTATCTGATTCACTTCATTAATAAGATATCATTATCTTATTTATTGATAATATATAAAATTTATATATTGATAATAAATTAAATATAAATTTTTAAATAATTATATAACAAATTTGATAATTCTATACATTATTCGTAAATATTGTATACAAATCAGTGGATTATCCAAACTTGTTTTAGATTCCATAATTTCACACAATTAGTAGTTTGGATATAACATTTCCATGTAGGTTGAATAGAAATTCTTTTAATAACTTCTAGTTTTGTCTATGGATTTGATATTTAATTTCCCATCAATAATGTAGAAGAAAGGAGTCGGGGTCCAAAAACTCCTTGCGTCCCCAAGTATCATAGTGAAAGCTCACAAATTTTTTTTTCTCCACGACAAATTTAGCTGGCAAAAGGGAGGTTCGCACGCGGGTAACGAAAACATACTTAAAAAAAAAAATTTATTCGAGAGTATATTATAATTAGGTGTGATAATACAAAATATGATATATGATAATATGACATAAAAATTATATAAAAAGATATGAATGTGAAATAATTTACAATTTTAGTAAAAATTAAAAATAAATTTAATAAAATAAAAAAATATTTTATATTTTTGTATCAATACGAATTGTGATTTATAATTTTTGTGTAAAATATAACATAAATATATGAATTATTAATATTTTATATGATGTAAATATATATAAATTTTCAAATTTAACTAAAAACCTGTGTTCCCCCAATTGCTTAGTCCATTGATCAAGTTAAAATGCTACAGAAAAATTCAACAAAAGGCTACAAAAACATCTCTATGTTTATATCAGTGATATAAAGAATTTGTGGGTGTCCACATGCAAGCCGTGACGTAAAAGGCATGGAAATGAAATTGTTAGTATAAGTTTTCACATTTGTGGATCCGAAATTTGAAGGAAATTTCACATCACACCTATAAATTCTAAGCTTGCTTTATACATTTGCACAATTCATACAAAAACCAAACAATTCTAACCTCAATTAATTTCCCTACTCTCGTCGTCTCTACATTTTGTGTTAAGCGTCAATGGCAGTGTTTGGGATCTCTGCAGCTCAGATTGCGATGGCAACGTTTGTTGTGGCTAGAGAAGGCAAAAAAACTTGAAATCGATGGGTTTTGACCCGATCCGATTTTTTAGAGTTAATTTTTTTTTTAAAAAACAAGTATCAGGTTGAGTGGCATAAAAAAAAAAATCGAAATCGAGTCGAGGTCGAGTTTTAAGCAAATCTGATATGATATATATAAAAATAATTTTTAAGTATTTATTTAATTTTATAATTATTTATATATATTTAATTTTATATTTATATTAAAAATAATATTTTATTAATTTCGGATAAGATATGATTTTATACAATGTCGGATCGGATTGAATTCGTGTATAAAAATAATAAAAAAATTATCAGATGTTTAAAATTCGATCGAATTTGGGACGAGCAAAAACTGACCCGACCCGGCCCGACTCATTTGCCATCTCTAATTGTGGCACTGTTTTACGTATCCGGAAACATAGCACAAGATATCGCTCCTTCTCCAGCAATGGACGCCGGAGCAGGGTTTACTTTGCTGGTTTCCGGAGTGTTGGTGTGTTCTTCCATATTGCTATCTTTGGTTGCTCTGTTGTTGCAGTGAATTCAAAGTTTCAAGACTATGACATGCCACCTGAAGACTCCCTGGTGATGATTTCATGAGGGGAGACCTTTATTCTGCTAAGAGATAATATTGGGTGCTATCATTTTTTTTAAAGATTTTGTTTCCAAATTTTTAGAATCTTTGTTATGTTACAATATTAGTGATATACATTCGCAATGGCAGACCATAAGCAGAGCCTTGAAGCCTCAAATAAAATTAAATATATATTTGTTATACATTTATATTTAACCAAATACTTATTTCTCATATTTTTGATTGATTTTAATTTTTTTTCTTTATAAATAATTGAATAATAATAATATATAATTGTTCGGATTTTTTTAAATATTGTATTATAATATATATGAGGTTGAACATTTAAAATATATTGAAAAAATTTTAAAAAAAATAATCATATTTGTTGTTGAAAATAATCATATATGGCATTTAATTTCAAATTCAATAACGTAATAAATAAATATATATTAATTTTAATTAATTTTTTTAAAATTAAATGTCAAATTTATCACTATATATTTAATTTTGTAATATAATCGCTAGGATTAGCTATCATGCATAAATAAAAGGGGAATGGTCCTATTTCTTTTGAATCACATTAGGTTTATTTTATAAATTATTTTATTTTGCCTCATTATAAAATTTGAAATTGAAATTTTAAGTTTTTGAACCAATAGAGTACATTGACATGTTTATGCCATAGTACCATGTCCAAAATGATTATAATAGTTGTATCAACAAAAATGGATCATCTAGTATATGTTATAACACAACATGAATTGATTATCACCTTGCCAAACTTCATCAACCCCGCAGGGTTTCAAAGTTCCAATGTCGTTCCACCGACGTAAGATTCATCTGTCCCAACTTTCAGACAAGCGTGTCAGCCTCCAAATTGCCTTCCGACCACAACAGCAAAAATCTTTTCAATTTCAGCTGTGTACGACACAAATCTCCTCTTTCCACTAACTCAATTTATTTATTAGCTGTTATGTGAACGTTGCCCAGCTGTCACCCATCCCCTCTGTAGGCCCCACACGCCGTTCACTCCCCCTATAAATACATACTTTCCCTTCCCCAACCCCAATTCCAAGCAACAAAATTCTCTTTCAGAACAAAAAGGGAAATAAAAATTTCTCAGCTTCTCTCTTTTTGAAATGGCTCAAGTTAGCGTGTTGAAGGCTTTTTTGGTGGCTTTGGTCATGGCATTCTTAACCGCCGCCTCGGCGCAGGTTAGCGAGGGGCCGTCACCTGCCCCAGACGCTGGAGCTGCTTTCTCTGTGGGCGTTTCTAGCGCAGCTGTTGGCTTCTCTTTGATCCGCTTCTCTTCTTGCTTTCTTGAAGCCTTAAATTAAAGGGCTTGTTTGGCTCCTCTATTGGTTTTGTTTTTTCTTTTCTTTTCTGTTTTTTTTTTTCATTCTTTCATTCTTTGTTACTTCATTAGACCATTGTAATGAAGTTGATTCTTCGAATAAAGTGCTTCTAGTGTGATTTTTTTTTCTTGGGGTGTAATTATATTCCTTTTGTGTACTGAATTGGAGGCATCCATGGTTTACATCTCTAAAATCTTGACCAGTCAGTTCAAATTCTATTTATTATTAAAATATTAAAAATATTTATATTAATATTTAAAGTTAAAATGCTACAGAAAAATTCAACAAAAAGGCTACATAAATATCTCCAAGTTTATATCAGTCAAACAAAGCGTTTTCTGGGTTTCCACATGCAAGCCGTGACCTAAAAGGCATGGAAATGAAATCGTTATTATAAGTTCTCACATTTGTGGATCCGAAATTTGAAGGAAATTTCACATCATACCTATAAATTCTAGGCTTAGTACATTTGCACAATTCATACAGAAACCAAACAATTCTAACCTCAATTAATTTCCCCTCTCTCGTCGTCTCTACATTTTGTGTTAAGCGTCAATGGCAGGGTTTGGGATCTCTGCAACTCAGATTGTGATGGCAATGTTTGTTGTGGCACTGTTTTACGTATCCGGAACCATGGCACAGATATCACTCCTTCTCCAGCAATGGACACCTGATCGGGGTTTACTTTGCCGGTTTCCGTTGTGGTGGCGTGTTCTCCATATTGGTATCTTTGATTTGCTTTGTTGTTGCATTGATTCAAAGTTTCAAGAGTTATGGGATGCCACCCTTTTCACCTCATTGGTGAAGGTTTCATGAGGGGAGACCTCTATTCTGCCA